TTGGGATTTCCACAAAATCATTAAGAGAATTTGCTAGAAGAAAATAAAATGAACCATTTTAAATAACTTTAACCAAGATAATCTTAAAAGGATTTTGTTGCGATGATAATGATGATGATGATGATTATAATGATGATAATATAACAACAACAACAACAACAATAAATAATAAAGGTACCTGGTTGACACCTAGGATGCTGGTAGCAACCCGGGTCAACCATCAGCACCAGTCAATTTGAATGTTCAGTTGACTGAGGTTCATGTTTAATGAATAAAAGATAATAATAATAGAATTGGAAGGGACCTTGGAAGTCTTCTAGTCCAACCCCCTGCTCAGACAGGAAACCCTATACCATTTCAGACAAATGGTTGTACAGTCTCTTCTTGGAGCATTCACCGCTTCTGGAGGTAGGTTGTTCCACTGATTAATTGTTCTAACTGTCAGGAAATTTCTCCTTAGTTCTAGGTTGCTTCTCTCCTTGATTAGTTTCCATCTGTTGCTTCTTGTCCTGCCTTCAGGCGCTTTGGAGAATAGCTCGACTCCCTCTTCTTTGTGGCCGCCCCTGAGATACTATAACACTGCTATCATATAACCCCTCGTCCTTCTCTTCATTAAACTAGACATAGCCAATTCCAGCAACCGTTTCTTATATGTTTTAGCCTCCAGTCCCCTAATCATCTTTATTGCTCTTCTCTGTACTCTTTCTAGAGTTTCAGCATCTTTTTTTACATTGTGGTGACCAAAACTGGATGCAGTATTCCAAGTGTGGCCTTACAAAGGCATTGTAAAGTGGTATTAACACTTCACATGATCTTGATTCTATCCCTCTGTTAATGCAGCCTAGCACTGTGTTGGCTTTTTTGGCAGCTGCAGCACACTGCTGGCTCATATTTAAATGATTGTCCACTAGGACTCCCATTGATGAAGATGTTGAAGAGCACTGAGCCCAGAACAGAGCCCTGGGGCACCCCACTACACACTTCCCTCCGTGTAGATGCGGTTCCATTGAGGACCACACTCTGAGTACGGCCGGTCAGCCAGCTACGAATCCATTTGTAAAGATAATCCATATCTGATTATCTTTACAAAGTTTTGAATTCTAATATGTTATACCATTTTGATCATAGGGATCATACGCCAAAGTCAATTCTAACCTTTTTTTTAATCAAACAGTATCTGCCATACAATCTTTTTCTAATATGCTGTATTTGATTTAAACAAATAGCATTAGTGATATAATTTATCATGTAGCTGATTAAGAAAGGGATGAATCTGTATGAAGGTGAACCTGAACATGAATTCCAGAAGACAGCGGTAAAGTGCAGCAGTCCCCAAACTTTTTGGCACTAGGGACCGGTTTCGTGGAATACAATTTTTCCATGGAATGAGGGGGGGGGTTAGTTTCGGTTTCACTCGCTCACCTGCTGCTTATCTCCAGCCGTGTAGCCTGGTACCAGTCCGTGGCCTGGGGTTGGAGACCCTGGTAAGTATATGGGTTGGTTGTAAGTTTTTACAGTAACACTATAAAGCTATGAGATACTTTTTTATACTATAAGGCATTACATTTGCTAATGCCTTTGAACACTATTGCAATAATGTATCCCCCATATTTCTGTTGTTATGGGTGCAAGAGACAATTTTTGTTGATGTATACAGTAGCCAAAGTAATTGGCTCAGTTACATGTCGTACTGTTGCTTGTACTGGGTCAGAAGGTTAGGCAAATTCTGCTATCGATCTGGTTTTATAATTGAGATGAGTTGCTTATCCTGGGTATCATGGATTATTGTTTGTAGGTGTTGGTTTTAATCTTTGTACTCGGCATCCCCTCCCCCAATGAGCCACTGTTGTGAGAAGGGTGGTAATAGAAATTAAGTACAATCAATCAATCAACCAATTAATCCAGTTACTGAACTTCTATCTGCATATACACTAGTGACCTGTGTTCATCCTTCATGTGTACTCTCCAGTGGTGGTCCTTCCTGCTACAATTAACACACACACACAAACATACCAGTACATACACACACCCTCCTCTCTCTCTCTCTCTACCTGCATCTATCTATCTGCTATTTTTATGCTGATATGGAAAATTTTCTTTCTTATATTTTAATGTGCATGAAGAGGAGCCTTAAGAATTTCTGAGACGAAGAGATACTTAATATTAAAGGCATGGTACCATATAGACCAAGGATATGGAGTAGAACTTCAATTAACAGGAGAAGGGAAAAATGACAACATGCCAGTAATGAACATGAAAAATATCACCATTTATTTCAGCACCTACTGAAGTGTTCTTACTTACGTTGAGCATTCCTTGAATGATTTTGTAATTTTTGTTTTCCTACCACTGACTTTTTAAATAAATGTTTTATATAGTATAATTTCTTTTTATCGTTATATGGTAATAATTTTTGTATTAGTAAGTGGTACAGAAATATATTTAATAAATAATATGATGATGATTGTATGAACATGTGCCATGAAGTCAGTGTCAACTCTTAGATATATCTATTTTTTCCATGAGGATTCCAGTAACCAAAATTATACAAAATTATTATTACTCTGTTATTTTGCATGAACACTGAGAGCTTCTGCACTGGAGACATATTCCTTGTGTATCTGATCATATTTGGCCAAATATAATGTTCTGTTCCGTTCCGTTCTATTCTACCTTCTACTTCAGGTTTGCCAAAGATGTACCTTTCATCACTGTAATTAAATCAATCCACCTTGCAACTGGCTACCCTTTTCTCTTTCATTCTACTTTTCCCAGAAACTTTTCCAGAAACTTAGGTCTTTGCATATCATGTTTCCAAGGTGTAATTTAGTGGGAATTCTGAAGTGATTTGTTTGAGATCTATTTGTTTATATTTCTGCTATCCATAGTATTCTCAGGAGTCTTCTCCAACACCAAAGTTCAAAAGGAAGAAAATTCTTCCTATCCTGCTTCAACTTTCACTTCCATAGATCATCATAGGACAGGGGTAGACAACCTTGGCTCTTTTATGACTCGTGGACTTCTGGCTCATGAATTCTGGGAGTTGAAGTCCACGAGTCATAAAAGAGCCAAGGTTGCCTACCCCTGTCATAGGGGAAACCATTGCTTGTACCATTCTGATCTTTTGTGATTAAGGCTTATCACATAATCTGAATATCTTTTCCAGTATCGTATTTGTTATTCTAACGAGTGCTACTCTAGTGTATTACTTGACTGCTGGTTCTTTTACTGTTGAGAGTCAATTCTAAACGGCAGAAGGTACCTATTACTTCAATATCTTCATGGCCAGTTCTAAGTCTGGTTGTTGTCATTAGTTTGATCTTCATATTTAATCTTGGTTACATTTTTTCACTGCTCCTTGATTTTCATTACAAGAACTTCCAGATCATTTGCATTTTCAGGTATCAGAACGGTATCATCAGCATAGCACAGGTTATTGCTGTTTCTTCCTCCGGTTTCAAAACCACATTCATCATCTTCTAATCTACTGTAGCTTCCCTCAGCTCATGTTCAATACATACAGTATATAGTTTTTGCTAATCAGAAGATACTGTTTCAACATGTTCTATCCAAATTTTGAGTTTCTGATTTTTATATGCTTTGCATGAGGACAGTGAGATGTTTTTGGGATTCTCGTTTTTCTAAGCACATCCTGCAACTTGATACGATCAACACAATCAAAGGCCTTTCTATATAATCAGTCAACTACATATTTAATAGTCTTTGGCTTTTTCAATTATTTAGGGTACATCAGAAATAATGTCTCGTATTTCATGGCCTTTTCTAAAATCAACTTCAACATCTGGCATGTCCCTTTCCAAGCAGGGTTCTAATCTGTGCTGGATGATTGTAGGCATTATTTCCCTAGCTTATGAAATCAAATAATGTACCCAAAGAACAGAACCTCTGCCTTTGTGATGAGGGGAAATTAACACTTGGGTCATGTATTACTCTGCTGCCTCTTTCATGGAGCTCTCCAAAATGTACACCCTCTTTTTACTGATTTGAATTAAAATATTCACAGATTCTCAGCAGTACACAATTTAGGAATGTAAATATTTTATGTACTGCACATTTTTTTTCTGGATATTCATTGAATGTGGAGAAAGATGGTTTATATTACAGATTTAGCCATAGATTTTGCTTGCTTGTCAGACTTCTTCAGTGTTGCAAAATTTTCAAGGTTTTTTTTGTTTGTTTGCTTTGCTTTGCTTTTATTACTTTTTATAAAATAAATTGAATGTGCAAATCAAAAATAGAAGTGGGGTTTTTTTTAGGAGGTGATAGTTCAGGAATGCTCAGAGTATAAATAAGTCTATTGATTATGCTATATTACATGCATTTAATTTTTTTTAACATATTTGTTTAACAAATATAATGAATATAATGGCTAGGACACAAGCATAGAAACCAAGAGACTGAGTTTTAGTCCTGCCTTAGGTATAAAATCTGGCTGGGCCAGTTATCATCAGCCCAATTCTTCTCACAGTGTTGTTGTTGTGGGGATAAGAGGTGGAAGGAATATTAGGTATGTTCACTGCCTTGAGTTGTTTATAAAAATATAAAGACCGGATATAACATAAATAAATAATCTAGTAACTATTAAGACATTTCTTAGCTTTATAATAAAATACACTTTAAAATGCCAATATTGTATGTCCTTTTTGGAAATAGCTCAATTAAAACGCATTTTTTAAAACTGTTATAAATCACTTGTTTATTTTCAAACTTGGTTAAAACAGGTTCTGTTTTCATACTCTTGCATGCAAAAAGCAATTCATCAAGTTTATTTTTTGCCATCCTTGGAAGCATTTTCCCCCTGTGTTCCTGCAGTCAGCTTCAGAGGGGGTAGATTTATAAAAGAAAGTGGATACTGTTCTACAGCTGGTTTTATTTTTATTGTTGTGATGAATTGATGCTGCTGATGTGGCAGTTCACGTAAAATGTTAACCTTTTTGATGATTATTTAATAATGCAGAATTTGAAATTGTATTGAACAGGTTATCTCCTGGTTCTGATGTCTATGTGACAGTGTCATCCATTGCCTTAGCAAGATCACAGCATTGTCGTAACTCTCCAAGCAATTTATCATCTTCAAGTGAAACTGGCTCTGGTGGAGGGACATACAGGCAAAAATCTATGCCTGAAGGGTAGGCCACATACGCGTTTATGACTTTATGCTTAGGGCTTATGCTTCTTTTAATGTGAGCTTTGGTGGCTTTGTTTGAGAATCCGAACAGGGAAAAAATAAGGATGCTTGGTCATATAACAAGTGCTCCTAATGTCATGACTTCTTTGTGTCTCAAACACAAACAAAATAGGTAAAATTAAAGCCTAGTATTCTGGTGTCTTGAATAAACAGTTTCTTGTATTGCCACATCTGAGGTAGAATCTTGAAAAACTATAATATCAGTTCTGTGCTGAAAAGTTAAATAAAACATTGCACATTAAAACTTTGCTTAAGAATGTTTGACTGCTTGTGCTCAATGTGTTCACACTGACACAGAAAAGATATGTTCTGGACAATCATATCAGTGTGCTTAATTACCCAAGTTGTCTATTTGTTTTGAACAGGATGCTATAACTTAATCATTCATCTTCTTGTCATCTCCCTCTTCAGATATTGCAGATATAACTGGCAGTGTTACATATCTTCATTCTTGGCATCTGTCATACTCTTGATTAAGCTCAGAGACTGCAACTGAATATAAGAAGCCAGTTTAAACCAAAAGCATTTGTTCCCATATTGTGTTACCAGGCAGATTAGAAGTGTAGTGGATAACAAAATGTTTTATTAATTATGAATGGTAGCCTCTTAACAAAAATAGGAACACAAGCATACGTGACAGCTACTGTGACTGATAAAAAAGTCATAATATTCTTGACTTATAGAGTTAAATTCCTACCTATAATTATTCAGAATCAATAGGTTTCTCACAACCTGTCAGCATCAAAATTTTACTGTACGACTATATGGTATCCTTGTACTTGAATATTATATTCAGTGTCTTAAAAATCTTGTTATCCTTTAAAAAGCCAACACAAGTAATTAAGAATTCAAAATAATTTCTTCATAAGAAAAGGTTACAATCCTGGGGCTTTTTGATTAGGACAAATGGTTATAGTAAGGACAAGATAGCATTGTGTGGAAGAAGTGGTAAAAGAAGTGTTTTCCCTCTCCCAATAATAGATTCTAAAGCTAAATGATAATAAAATAAGAGAGATAAGATAACAGAGATATCACACACACCCCCCAAAAAAACCCCTTCTTTTCCTAACAATTTCAACTTAGGAATTTATGTTCTTATGAAAAGACAAATTGAGGATAAGACTCAATAGCTACTAGTCACAATAGTTGCATGTAGCCTCCAGATCCAAGGCAATTTGACCTGAAATAATGGTTGTTGTTACTGAAACAGGAAAGCCTATGACTCTCATGACCATTGTTGAGTTGAATAGCATTCTTATTTTCCTAAGTCTGTTCAGGTAATCAAGATATTCTTATTTTCCTAAGTCTGTTCAGGTAATCAAGATTAAACAAGACACCTTGTTTAATCCCTGCTCATCTGACCAACACATTCTTCAATGTCATTTTTGTCTTTAGTCTACTTCTATCAACTAACTTTCATCCTCTGTCTAATGTCTAGTAACTATTGCTGAAGCTATGATGAACCTTAGGGTAGTATATGATTTTTGCAAATCAATGATACAATTGACTGTAGCTAACCATTTTGGAATGGTTGAACTGATTGTAATCTAATACTTGGAAAACATCTTTGAATGGTATTTCCCATGTGCACAATAGAATAATTGAGATTCCTTTACACAGATTTGGAATGAGTAGAAGATCTCCTGCCTCCATTGATAGGCAGAACACAGATACCAGTGGCAGTGGCAAATCCACTCCGAGTTGGCAGAGAAGTGAGGATAGTATTGTTGATCAGATGGGTGAGTATTTCTTTCTTGCATATCTTCTATTTCTTGTACCCCAAGGTGATTGTGACAACCCATTCCTATGCAATAAGTATTTACCTTTTTTGTTTTTATTAATCAGAACGAATTATTGTAACATGTATCCAATATTAGATGGCACTTATTTATTAGAAATAAAATGCCTGTGGGGAATAGATACATCATAATAGCCCAGTCCCTGGAGTGCTTTCTCAGAAAGTTGTACCATAGACATACTTGGCTTTATTAATGTTTATTTGTTTTAGCCTGTGTACTTTTTTCCGAGTATAGCATCTGGTTCATCAGCTTATTTTAATTTTCATTGTGCTCCTTTCTGACAGAAAGGGGTATTCAGATAATTGTTTGATATGCTGACGATAATGCACAAATGTAAAAATGCAGTAAAGTATAACTGAAATCTGTATTTAGTCAAGATATTTTCTCCCACTAATGAGTATATCGTTAGTTAAGATTTTAACTGAAAGAAACTTCCTGAGCCACACAAATCCTCAGCATTCAGCTGATATTTATTGTTGAGTCGTTGTATGGAGTTCTCAGCATATAGCCCTGGTTCTTTTTTTTTTTTTTAATTGAAAATTTTATAAAAGTTTTACAATATAATTCCCCCCCTCCCCAAAACCCACCCTTACCCTCCCTCCTCCCTCCCCCCCACTTCCCAGAGCCAATCACAGGGTTAACAATACAATAACCATACTCTATCTAACATTAATCAACTATTAGAATAACAAATCATATTGTAGGAAATTGAGAGAAAATTTGTTTATATGATTATAATTTGTGTTATTAATATTGTAGTATAATTATTAATATTTATTTTTATTCATTGGATAATATTGTATATTTGATGTAATAATGAGATTTTAAATGAGTTTTTGGTTTACTTTAAAAAATCATGGTATAAATGAGAGTTATATTAGATAGGTAGAAGAGTAAACCGAAATATATCTTTCTTGTGAGTAATCCTTCACATAAGCGGAAATCTTGGCCATTTCTGCTAAATTTGAGACTTTAAGTGACCATTCTTCTATAGTGGGCAAACGTTCCGTTTTCCAACATTGAGCTACTAATAGTCTTGCAGCAGTTATAAATTCAACATCAAATCCGTTTCTTTTGTATCCAAATCTTCCATAATACCCAGCAAAAATATCTGCGGTTTAAACTTTATCTTTTTCTTAAAAATATTTTGAATATTCCACCATATCTTAATCCAAAATGCCTTTACTTCCCTGCATGTCCACCAGATATGAAAATAGGTTGCATCTAAGTTCCCACATCTCCAGCCCTGGTTCTATAGCTGCTGTGCTTGAATCTGTTATGTTAGATTCCACTAAGATTTTTGAAATGATAGCAATTTAATATCCTCCTATTAGACCAGTGGTGCATTGTGACAAATTTTAGCAAAGAAGCCAGGTAAGCCAAGCTAAGAGTATGGCTCCTTGGTAGGCTGTATAAAGGAAGCAAAATATTTTTTCTAGAAGAGCTGATGTATAATCACTTAGTCTTAATTGTTGGGTGCAATATGCTGATTCCGTAAACCACTTAGAGAAGCTGTAAAGCACTCTGAAGCGGTATATAAGTCTAAGTGCTATTGCTATATTGCCGTGGTGGCGAACCTATGGCACGCGTGCCACAGGTGGCACGCAGAGCCCTCTCTGTGGGCACGCACGCTGTCGCCCCAGTCCTAGGCCTTCAGCTGGGTTTTATAAAACCTTTTTGCTTTAGGCCTCCGCCGCTGTGTGCAAAAAAAAAAAAAAAGTTCAATCAATCAATTTCAACTTCTTGCGGAAAAAAAAAGATCTCGCAAAGTTGGAATTGATTGATTAAACTTTTTAGTCCCATCCAGTCTGCCGTTACCACCACAGGCACGCCCACCAAATGGGCCACGCCCATCCAATTGGCCACACCCACCCAATAGGTCATGCCCACCCAGCACTCGACAATACATAAGTGGGTTTTGGGTTGCAGTTTGGGCACTCGGTCTCTAAAAGATTCTTCATCACTACTATATTGGATACGTGAATTAAAAAAAACAACAAAGAAGTTTGGAAACAGATTTGCGGGGTAGAAATTGGCACAGGTCAAGCTCAGTTTCTCTTAACTACTTGGAAGACCAAATGATGGGAAAAGAAACGTTCTGATACAATTTTACCTTGAAAAGCAAACATTTTATATAATGTTACATTGAAAAGCAAAAAGATATTACAGTATAATTTTCTCAGGAAAACAGAAACATTTTTCTTGTCCTATCCTGTTTGACAATAATCTTGAAAGTAATCCATTGTCCTGGGCAAGCTGAGTGATAGAAAATGGCATAATGAAAGAAACTGAAACAGCTCCAGTTATGTTTATGCTTATAGTAGATAGCTACTATGTTCATGAGGAAGATTTAGGACAGAGTGAAATATTTAGTTATCGCTTGGGGGCTGGGAAGAATTTTGAAAATAAAATACAGTATCGAGTTTCAAAATGTATACTTTTTCTATTCATATTAAATCCATCTAGTGATTCCTCATCTCCCTCCCAGGACTACTTAGTAAGAAAAAAAACCCACCTGTGATTATACATATCTTTAGTTTCCATTTGGAGACACTATTTCAATCACATCTGCTTTTTCATTTTTTTATTGTGATGGCAAAATTTGTGATTTTCCAGAATGACTTTGCAGTTCACATATTATATGTTGTTGTTTTCACTTAACTACCATAAAGTTCTGTTTTAAAAAGTACAACATTCAAATACCATTTTTAATTAAAAAGTAAAGAAAAGATAAGTGATTTAGTGTAAAAAAGACTGAGTACAGCATTACCTATCAGCCTCTCTTAAAAATAGGGGTGTGTTGTTTTTTTTTGTTTTAAGACAAGTACCATTTTACACAAACCCAAATAACTGTATTTTTATAATTGCGAATTATATTCAGCTGATATAAAGAGACAATCTTGCTAACAGAAGTTTATTTGATTGAATAGTATTCAGACAAGAACCCATGTTGGGCAACTTTCCTCTCCCCTCTTCATCTCTTAATCTGCCCCCTTCTATTAAAATACATAAAGTGGAAAATAAAAAGGTTGCAAAAAATAAGTGTTGAAAATTCCCTCCCTTGCTATTTCATTAAAACAAGCTTCTGCTAGGGAAAAATGATCCACGAGTGGAAAGACACTAAATAGATACAGCCTGATATAGCAAAGATTTTATTATTCAGCTTTAAGTCAGCAACATTAGAAAACAGATGTTGTATTCTGCTTCTGCTTCTTATAACCAAGGGTGGACAACCTTGGCTCTTTTATGACTCGTGGACTTCAACTCCCAGAATTCCTGAGCCAGCAACAGTTTCCCATTTTTTAAAAATGCCAGGCAATAGTTTTTTGTAAGTCTCCTGAATGAAAAACACCATTATTGTATGCTATATTACAGAAGCAACATGCCATCTGCCTGCAATGTCCAAAGTGCTGCCATCCTTCAGAGAAAGTCCAACAGGAAGATTGATGAGGCAGGATCCAGTAGTTCACCTATCTCCAAATAAGCAGGGCCATGTAAGTTCACCTTCCGTTTTTATTCAAGATGTCTTAAATAAAGTGATTGAAAGATAAAAGTGTCTGTTAAAAATTTGTACTTTCCCCAAATGATGTCTGTTTTTCAGAGTACAGATGTTCAAACTATTTATAATAATCTCATTATTTTAAAATTGAGTAAGATGCATTAATGAAAATACTTCCCCGACAACTCAAGCAGAATTTTGCTTCAAACTGTGATGTGATATATAGTATGATCTGCAAACCTTCCTTTCAGAAAAAAAAAAAAAAATCTTCCACATAGCAAATTTTTAGGATCTATCAACATTTTTACGGGAAAATAATTCTGATAGCAATCTTTAGTTCTCTATTAATATAACTAGCCCTTGTTTGACTGGGACTGGCAATGCCTTTCTAAGCAAAACGGTTGTTAAGTGAAATATCACTTGACTACTCCTCTTAGCGATGATAGTTCGGGAAACACCATGGCAAGAAAGTTGCTTAGAGTAATAATAATAATGATGATGATGATGATGATGATGATGATGATCTTGGAAGGGACCTTGGAGATCATCTAGTCCAACCCCCTACTCAGGCAGGAAACCCTATACCCGTGGTGGTGAATCTATGGCACGGGTGCCAGAGGTGGCACGCAGAGCCCTCTCTGTGGGCACACGCACTGTCGCCCTAGTCCTAGGCCTTCAGCTGGGTTTTATAAAACCTTTTTGCTTTAGGCCTCCGCCACGTGTGCAAAAAAAAAAAAGGTTCAATCAATCAATCAATCAATCAATTTCAACTTCTTGCAGGAAAAAAAAGATCTCGCTAAGTTGGAATTGATTGATTGAACTTTTTAATCCTACCCAGTCTGCCGTTACCACCGCAGCCACACCCACCCAATAGGCCATGCCCACCCAATGGGCCATGCCCACCCGGCACCCGATGATACATAAGTGGATTTTGGGTTGCAGTTTGGGCACTCGGTCTCTAAAAGGTTCGCCATCACTGCCCTATACCATTTAAGACAAATGACTGTCCAGTCTCTTCTTAAAAACTTCCAGTGTTGGAGCATTCACCGCTTCTGGAGGCAGGTTGTTCCGCTATTACAACTCCTTAAAGTATGGGGAGATAATTTAAAATCTATGCAGATTTGTAAGACTTCAGAGTAGATTCTAAATGTAGAGTTCATAGGTTACACAAAAGAAATGATACCATCACTTAACTTGAGATTACAGGTAGTCCTTGATTTATAATCACAATTGCTAAGTGAGACAATTATTAAGTATTTTTTCCCCATTTTACAATCTTTCTTGCCAGAGCTGTTAAGTGAATCGCTGTAGTTGTTAAATTAGTAACACTATTGTTAAGTGGCTTCCCCATTTATTTTGCTCGCCAGGAGGTTGCAGAAGGTGATCACATGACCCCAGGACACCGCAACTCTCACAAATATGAGTATTTGCCAAGTGTCTGAATTTTATTCACATGACCGTGGGGATGCTGCCATGGTCGTAAGTGTGAAAAATAACCATGTCACTTTTTTCAGTGTCGTTCAAATGGTCACTAAATGGACTTTTGCGAGTTGAGGACTACCTGTATATAAAATACTCATGAAATCTTTTTTTCTAATATTTAACCAATCATTTTGTACTTTTTAAGCGTATTATGAAAAGTAACACATTTAAAGAGTATATTAAATTTGCATGGCGATAAATTTAAATGAAACAGCTCAGAGATCTTTCATCGTAGTCTTTTTAAGAGATGTTATAGGTTGATACTTCTCCAGAATCCATGTTGGGCAACTTTCCTCTCCCCTCTTTTCATCTCTTCATCTGCCCCTTTCTATTAAAATACATAAAGTGGAACGTAAAAAGGTTGCAAAAAATAAGTGGTACATAGAGAGGGACGTTTCTCATTTTATGTTTGTAGACAGTTATGTGTATTTTCCCTTATATAATTTCAGTAATGAGCAGTTCATTCCACTTTATATTATTTCATTCCAAAATGTTGAATTTAATTCAGAATCTTGTCTGTGTCTGTGTGTAGTCCGACAGCCACTACTCCAGCCACTCGAGCAGTAATACGTTGTCCAGCAACGCTTCCAGTGTTCATAGTGATGAGAAGTGGTATGACAGTGGAGATAGGACTGAATCGGAGCTGAATAGTTACAACTACCTTCAAGGCACTTCTGCCGATAGTGGCATCGATACCACCTCATACGGTCCCAGCCATAGTAATTCAACCTCTATGGGCAACTCGGCAACATCTCCCCGATCAGGACTTATAAAAGAAAAAGTGGCATCGCTTTGGCACAGTTCCAGTGAAGTGGTCTCCATTGCAGATCGGACGTTAGAAAAAGACAGCCACATGATGGACAGAAAAACTGAATCTTCACTGAGCTTGGACATCCATACCAAAAGTCAACCAGCCTCCAATCCTTTAACAAGAGAAAACAGTGCTTTTAGCCTCAGTGATGCTGGTTCCCATGCAAGGTAATCTTTTTTTTTTTTTTAATTAGGTATCTGAAGGCTCTCTCTAGATATTTCTAGCAGCTTTTAGAAAATAACTATACACATTGCTTAGAAGCTTAGCAGTTTGAAGAAGAGATACTGTGCAGAGTGTTTGAAAATGCAAGCACGTTTGCTCTTTTAGTGGATGGAGAACCAGTCCATTTATCATAGGAGTTCTTAAAACAGAAGTGTCTACATCGTTGTATGAAATTCATATAGTCCGCTTTTGGAATGGCTGGCTATAATAAATCTATATAATAATAGTAATACATGCATATACTAAATATTATATTTATGTGGTAACATTGTATAATAATAAATCTTCCTTTGAAGTGTAAATTTTATGGATGGGTCTTGGCATTAATACGGAAGTGGTTCAACATAGCCTTTTTTTAAAATTTTCCAATCTAGCCTACATCTCTGGGATTTTTGGTGACCTTCCACCTGAGGGGAAGTGTTTAGTTTTTTGAGCTCAATTCGATGCTACATAATTACTTTTTAATAATAATTTTATATTTGGAATACTACACAATAGGCAATCACAATTTACTTTTCAGATTACTTGTGAATTATTGACAGGCTGTCTAGGAACTCCTATAGAAAATGATTGAACAGAATGGCTGAGCATACAGGAATTCAGCTGTTACACTTGAGATTGTAGAAGACATTAG